GAAGCATTATGTGTTCCGAGTTCTTAGTTATGCATCCAAGTGGACCGTTTTTTACGCTAACAGATACAGAGTATTCAAAGGCATTACAAAAATATCCACACCTAAATATCGATTTCAATATGTTATATGAAAAAAATAGTGCCTCTGCTAGTATGAATGTAGGAGGAGATAATTATTTTGACAACGAAAATGTTCTCAAGCAATTCGAGCGTTTATTTCAATTGTTACCTTTCAAAAAAGAGTATGAAAATCATAATTTTGTTTGTCTAGTCGACAATGCGAAAACACACACAGCAACTGAATTCAGCATTAATGACTTTAGTATGAAACCTGGCACCAAATGTCCTATCGATGAACTTGAGTTTATTGATGAAGATAACACCAAAAAGATAGTCAAATGCTATGATGATAATGGTGTCAGTAAAGGACTATTAGCTTTAGCCAATAAACTGAACATTTTTGTTCCAAAGAAATGTAGCCGACAGGAGTTGAGACTCTTGTTAAGTGAACATATAGCTTTCAAAAAAGTAAAAAGATTTGTTTTCTTTAACTAATATCGCTGTTTATTCTTTGAATAATTCTAGATAAGCAAGCTTGAAAAGTTAGCTGCGCAATACAATGTTAAAATCGTGTTTACCCCAAAGTTCCATTGTGAGACCAATCCTATAGAAGGATATTGGTGTCACTCTAAACAATATATTAGAAAAAATACTGATCAAAGTTATCAAAGATTAGTTAGCTTGATACCCGACTCCAAGGACAATTTTGTTCAAAAGCAAATCCATTTCAAACTTTTTCGCCGGTTCGGGAAACCACTCAACGTTTATGGTGAAGGAAAAAATTACCTGGAGGTGTTAAATATGTTTTTCAGTGGCTTGTGCAAAGATGAAATCCTGAGTCATCGTAGGATTACCAACAATAATATAAATAATATCTTTTGATTCATTTTTTTCTGTAAATTTGAGTCAAATTGAGGAGTCAGATGTTTCATGATTTCCATGGTAATCAGATCATTTTGTTCATAAAGAGTTAGAGAAATACAAGAAAAAAATGCAAATATTCAACAATCTTCAGGAGCTCTCTACAAAACATATAGACACCTGAACAATTTCAAGAGATTCTTTTGTGTCATATGCAAGCATTTCCATCGAATTCTCCTTTATTTTTAATCAATTTGACTTATTTTTTTAAGTTTAAGATTGAAAACTTGTGTTTTCTTGAAAATCAGAAAAATCGACTTTTCATTATCCGTCAATCGGAACTATTGTTAGCCTATTTTTTTCAAGTAGAAAAAGAAAATGAAAAAAAGCGATGCGTACTTTTGTAGCCCGTCAAAAGGCGATTCGAATGATATATTAACGAAGCTTCTATGAAATACAGAAAAAAAGTAGATGGGTTTACAAAGTTGAGGACTAGTGTCAGTCGGACGCTTTTCTATGGGCCCTTAGAAACCGAACACGTAGTATGTGAGGAATCTCTAAAAAAAGAAAGCTAAATCAACTTTTTACGGGGAATTCGAATATATTATCGAAAAAAGTAAAAACTAGATCAGTAAAAAATTTCCATGACATTCACGGGCAGAATGCATTTTTTCTTACTTTTCTATGTCTTCTAGTTTTTTGAGCTTTTCAAAATGAAAAATTGATCAAATTAAAAAAGTAAGGTCATATTCGTGATCAGCGTAAAAAACTGAGTCTAGGGATGTTATTTTTAACGAAAAATAAAATCTGCTGAAGTTTTGCATTACGCGCACCTTATATATAACTTTTAACTAGATATTCCAACTTATTTTGTGGGTTTGTTGGAATTGCTATTTCGTGAATGGTACGAATTTCTTTAAAAAAAGAGAATAAGATGTTATGAAGTTATAGGGAGCCCTAAGAAACGACTAGGGTTACACTTTTGGTAAAATTTATTTTATACATGAAAGTATATTTGACATACGCGTTGAATAAGTGATCGAAAGAGGGAACGATTCATACGACATGTCTGTCGTTTCACACTAGTGCTCCATATGAAATATTCAATTGAGCCGGCCACAAATTTGAAGGTACCAAGAACTACATTGACACAGAAAAAAGGACAATATCCAATATATGTTACAATCCAATGATTACGTTCATTTCACGTACTGAATAGCCAGTGAATTATGTTCATAACTTTTTCTCGAAATGAAGGCATTGATGTAGCTATGGTTGGCAAGAAAGTTACACGACCAGTAGGGTGTAGGCTAAAATGAAGACATACCAAAGAAAAATAAAAGAGATAGATAGTAATTAATAATATTTTTTTAGTGAATTACTTGTGCGATAAAGCATTATTGGATATATTGAGCTCAATGTATTGAAAATATGAAATGTTCTTCATCGACGCTGTTGAATTTTGGTATTGATGATCACAATTATCACCGAATGACTTCAAAGCAAATAATCCAGTGATTCGACCGAAGAGAACTAGATTAGTGACAATGCAAGCCGATTGCAGTAGTGTCATACACATAGTAATGAACATCAGGACTAAATCAATTCGATTCGCAAACTGAAACTACAATAAACTCAAATACATTAATCAGTACGAGTTTTGTTTGAATACACTTACTAATCGAAGAACACCAACTGCTTCATCTTTGTTATCATATTCAATATTATCATCTAAGTTTATATATTTATCGATACTCTCATTTCTACCGAAACATCGGCGCCAATAGGAGAAACTATGAAAAATGAATATTCATCGTCTCTTTTTCTGGAAATTAGTTATTTATTAGATCATACCTATTCGTTACAACTCGTTTCTTCTTCTCCTTATTATTGTCATCATCATCAATGGGCGAATTACTGCATGCTTCTAACAAAAGTTGTCTGTCACTCATAGGATGTTTTTTTACAAAATAACTATTACGAAAAGCATACAAAAAAAGCCATGCGCAATTACATTATTAGACAGTCATCCGCCATAATTATTGTGACTTTTCATGCGTTTCTTTTCATTTTCGTTAGTGTAGTGAAGAAAACGAAAAGTAATTAGTAATCAACGAAATAAATCTCCGAGAAAAATTTTTAATGAATGACAAAATCACGTTTATTTTAAGGCATGCATATTGCTCACAAGGCTTTGCTTACTTGGTGTACACAAATATGTAAGATACAAATACAAGCAGAACAAGTAAACTTGAGAAGATATATTAATTGATAGAAGATAGTCATCAATATGATAAATGTTTTTAGTTTTATCACAAATCAAATTTAAACTAAAATGAATTTTGAAATATGTTGAAATCCAAGCGACAAGGTTTCTCGAGCGTTTTCACTTCCCATGTAAAAAAAATAATAAAAAAAAAAATTGATAGACACATGCTTTTAATCAATTTGAGGTACAATATTTTCCAAAAATAGTTCATCACTTTTCAAAACGATATTTTTTTAAATGAAGCAAGTTTACAACATTGTTTTATACTAAATGCAATGAGCATTTGATATTCATTTTGTGTCGCTATTTCATAAATTTTGTGGGGTGTGGGGGTGTGTGTCAGTGTCCGTGCGTGTGTAAGTGTTTG